GGCGCTGGGAAGGGAGCTTCAGTCGGGGTCGTGGCAGGCAGCGCGGCGCGGCGCGGGGCGCGGTGACCTGGGGCTGGACCTGGGACTTCACGTTTCAAAGTCGTTTGGGTTCGTCTGGTAACGGAATTTAGTTCCGTTTTTTCTTGTGTGTTCTCAATAAACTCCTCTATCTAATTACGCTTGCCCGACTATTTTCGCTTGAAATTTGGTCTTCCCGAAGCTTTCGACCTGTACACCAAAAACGAAAGAAAACCAGAAAAATACACGGAAAACACAGAAAAAGACCAACTGAAGGAAATCACGCAACAAAACATAAAACACACTAAAAGCAAAAGAAAAGACCTAAGATGGGGGGCAAAATAAGAGAAATATAACAAGGAAAAACGCAACAAAAATGGGACAAACAACTCCCCCACACTTAAACCTTTGTTCGTCCCGAACAAAAACAAAAGAAAAGAAAACAAGACACGAGCATTGATATGGTTTCAAATAAGAAGAGCCTCATAAATAATTAACTCAACCGGGTTGAATTCAAACGATCGTACGACCATATGCCTCAAATATCAACTTGGCCTCGAAATGACAAACTCTCAAACACAGTAATATTAGTGTATGCCTCACTCATTCTTTTACATGAATATATGACTGGGCCGCTCAGATTGGTCAATATTCAAGTTTCAACATATGCTTGCCAATCGTTTAAATTACTCGAACTCAATCAAAGCTCAAAAGTTGCGAATCAAGAGGACTTCACGGGTTGCAATGTGGGCTTTTGGTAAAGGTAAGAATATATATAGGCAAGAAGCTCAGATAAATAGTCAAAGTTCTCGAGTAATAGACTACTCGAATGTCTGCTACTCATACGAAATAAACAATATAGCACATTTACCATCCACCAAACAACTCCATAAACAACATCTAACTGCTCTAATCGAATTGCAACCTTTCTTGACCAATTTTTTTTCTTTCTTTTTTTTTTTACTTTATTTTTCTTTGGAGAGTAACTTTTTTCCGAACCAGATCGAATCAAAAGGACAACATTCTGTAGGTGTGAATCTTGGAGGTCATCCAAGTGTCCTACAGTAGTTTCCAAATGCTCATTACCTGTCAACATGAATCGACTAGTAAGAGGAGCAGAATCCATTCGATTCGTCCAGTGAACTCTCGAGTTTTTTTTTTTTTTTTAATTAAATGGTCAAGCAAACAAAATGCAACTCAATATCCACCATATTCAAAAATGCCACCGATCCCCCAGTCATCACACAATTCAGTCAACAGGTTGACAAGAAAAGGTTTTAAGCTCAAACGGGCTACTAGTGGAATAAATTTAGGACCAAAGAACAAGGCAGAAGTGAGCTAATCAAACAAAACGCCTC